GTGGCCTGGCGCAACCCTGGATTTGGGACCCCCAGCTTTCCGACCTTAGACGGCACGCGAAGCCGACAGAGCTGCTGCTCTGGGGACAGCCCGGCCCCAAGGGCCCTCTCTTCAGGGCCTGACCAAGCCGGCTGGTGGGGCTGGGCAGGAGAAGGGACACTTGGGCCTCTGGAACTAAATCCCACTGACCCCACTTCCTCCCTCCTGGGTGGGATTTGTCTCTGTTTTTCTTTTCCTCTGTCCAGACTTGCTGCTAAGACTGGAGGAGCCCTCTCTTCCTGTTTAGGAGACCCCGTACCCTCTGGCTCCCAAGTGAGTTTCCAGGACAGGATGGGAGAGAAAGAAGGCAGAGGCATGGGGAGGCCACGCCCTGCCTGTGGAGGGCTGGTGGGGCGCAGGGTGGGGAGGTGGCTCCTGGGCAGAGATACTGTGCTAGGGGCATCGGGGACGCACAGGCCAGGCCTGGGCAGGGCTGGGAGCCAGTAGGCCACACTGCTCATTTGGTTACCCAGCTGTGCGTGTAGGCAGGGGGCTCCTGATGGGGTGGCTCTGGGGCTGCACTCCAGTCACAGGCCACAGGTCCCCAAGCAGAAGGGCATTTGCCAGCAGCCAGGAGGACCAGACGTGACTCAAGGCTGAGGGTGGGGATGGGAGAGCAGGGACCTCGTGAGCCTATGGCCTGCCCATGTGGGGAGGACCCAAGGCGGCCCCTAGAACTCCGGTCCTCTCGGGGGAGGAGGAATCCTCCCGACCAAAAGCCCATTGTTGGGGAGCTCCTGTCCCCACCTGGCGGCATCTGGTCTGTGTGTGCCCTTGGGCTGCTTGAAGCCTGGGCAGGATTGACCAGGGCAGAGAGCTCAGGCAGAGAGCCAGCTGGGCACTAGGTGGCCTTTGGTTCTGCCCTCTGCCACTCCTCCAAGCCAAGGTCCTCTCTCTGTGAAGTGGGTTCAGCAGCAGAGCCTGTATCGCCCTGGCTACAGATGCAGCTCTGCTGGGTGTCTCCTAAGACAGTGGGGGCACCCCTGCGCCCCATCCTGCTGTCCCTTCGCTTCCTGGATCCTTTCTTCTGCCTGTTCCTGACTCTGTATGGCACTCCAGTGCCTGAGAGAATCCCTGCCGGAGGTCAGGAGTGGCAGGCTGCATGCCCACCTCGGGACCTAAGCTGGGCGTGCTCTGGGCACTGCTCAGGCACACTGTCAGATGAGCTGTTGGAGAGCAGTTCAGGGCTCCCACTGCTGTGCCCTCCCCTGGACAGTGGACCCAGGATCGCAGGGGTCAATCCGTCCCCTCTGCCTTGTCCTGGCTGACAGGGGCTTGTGGAGCCGGGGCCTCCTCAGTCCTGGGCCTGTGGCTTGTCCTTCTCCCTCGTGTCTAGGATGAGCCAGCTGAGGCTGCTGCCATCCCGGCTTGGGGCGCAGGCCACGGGGCTCCTGGCCACACGGGGCATCCCCAGGAGAAGCTGGCGCAGCAGGTCCTCCGAGCCCTCAGCCGCCTTCCCCAATGGCACCAGTGGAGGTGGCTCCAGTTACGTGGAGGCTATGTACTCGGCTTGGCTGGAAAACCCACAGAGTGTGCACCAGGTCAGCACCCCACCTGCCGAGGGAGGGGAAGGGGGCACAGCACGGTGCTGGGAGAGCCGGGGTGGTGCCTTCACCTCACCCCGGCAGTCCCAGAGCTGATGAATTAGCTGGTGGGAGGCGGTCCTGACAGTTCCCGCTCCTCATGCCTGGCCATCCCAGATTCCCCTCGTTTGGCATGAGAGCCTCCAGTGTACACAGCTGCAAGACGTGGTGGAGTAAACACCTGCTGATGGTACCCACATTAGATCGGACCCCGGGGAGTGGGGACTGAAATCATTCTCCTCACACACTCTGCAGCCACAAGACCCAAACACAAAGTAGGCAAAGCCCAAAAGCTCCTTCCAAACCCACCCCCAGCTGCTCAGGCTCCACACCGCTCCTGGCCTCCAGTTCATTCTTAGTTTTTTCTCTGTCCCTGACTTGCTTTACATAAACTCATTGCAAAACAACTGAATTTCCCCCTCCTACACAAAAGTAACGCGAACCAGTGCCGTTCTGCTCCTCCCTTGTTTGCTGGGCAGTCTGTCTCCCAGCTTGATCCACGCCAGTCTATGAAGAGCCCTGTTGTTCTTTCTCCCAGCTGTATAATATTCCACTCTGTGGGTGTGCTGCCCCAGCCCTGGGGACTGATATCCTGTGTGCTGCCACCCCTCGTGTTGTCTCCACACACACATGCAGCTGTGCCATTCCAAGGGTGCTGCAGGTGGCTTTCACGGAGGTTGCTCTGCCTGGTTCTGCTGGCGTTGGGTGGAGTGAGCAGAGGCGAGTGCTTTCCCACCTCAAAGCACATCAGTGCTCGTGTGTGTGTGTGTGTGTGTGTGTGTGTGTGTGTGTGTCCCTGCTCATGCCTCTGCACGTGCCTTCCTCATGCCGTCACAGCGCCCCTCAGCAGCCCCCACTGCCTCTGCAGTGAACCTCGCCTTTGAATTCTTAAGACGCCCAGCAGTCCAGGTCCTAAACGTGAGCTGCATTTGTTCACCCACTTCTGCTTGACAGTGTCTCGAGTCTATTCTGCACTGTCACTTTTACAAACAGCCCTGCAGGGAACGGCCCTGTGTGCACATCTGGGCGCGCTGTGTGAGCACATCTGTGGTGTAAATGCTAGTGGCCGGAGCTGCTGGTGGGGGAGACGTGTGGGCGTGCAACAGGGCCACCTGGCAGGGGCCGCCACTGAGGCCCACCGTGACCCACAGCAGCCCCTGTCACAGCAGAAGCCCTCGAGCCACACTCCCCTGCCCCTCAACCTCCACACCAAGCCAAGGCCTGAACAGAGCAGGCTCTGGGTCCCAAGGCTCCAAGGGAAAAGCAGACCCCGCCCCGGGGTGCCAGCCTGGGCCCCCCACCTCCTCCTGCCCTTCTCCCTGCTTCTGGCCCACCCAGTCCTGGGACAGCTTCTTCCGGAAAGCCGGTGGGGAGACACCACTCGCCACCCCCGAGGGCAGGCCCGTGCCTTCCAGACGGACCAAGGCCAGCAAGCTGGTGGAGGACCACCTGGCCGTGCAGTCCCTCATCCGGGCCTACCAGGTAAGGCAGCGCAGTCCTGTTTGGGTCCAGCATCGTGCACCCCTGCTGCTCTGCCTGCCTTTGCTACCTCACCTGGAGCACTGCTCACCCCGCTCCTCGCCCCCGAGGCTTTGCCTGTGCTGATCGGCTGGTTGTGGTTGTCTCCTGTGGTCCTGCACACAGTTCCCTAAGGACCCGGGGGACACAGTGAACTATCGGCTCCCAAGCCTCTCTCTGAGGTGTGTTTTTGCCCCCAGACTGGACTGGTCACGCTGGGAAGACAGGGCTGTACACCGCAAGGCTGGCTTTGCCCAGGGAGGACAAGGCACTGTGTGGCGAGTGTGGACTGTGACACGCAGGGCACTTCCTGGGACCTCATGGAGCAGACCTTGACTGCACAGCAGTTCGTGACCACGCCCCAGCGTGGTCTGTGGAATCAGGGGTTCCTGCTGTGTCCCTGCCTAGCAAAAGTCTGCTGAAGCCTGAGGCAGAAAGCTGCAAGTTCCACCCAGCTTGGGGAACTTAGTGGAGTTAGTGAGCCCCTGAGGGCTGGGGCTCAGTGCAAGCTCCTGGGTTCAGTTCCCAACATCGCAGGTGCAAAGAGGTCTGCTCACGGTGGAGGAGCAGCTGGGGGACCGAGTTGTGGTCTGACCCCCTGCAGGTTGCCCTGAGACGCAAAGGTCACCGAAGATGTTTGCAGACTTACAGAAGGCAGAGAGTGGTGTCCCGGGCCACCATCAGCCCGCACACAGTCTCATCTCCTGCCCTCCTGTTGGCACTCACCCATGCCCAGGTGCCCTCTGGTTACGGAATATCTCTAAGAAATACAAGCCCGCCACCATGGCATATCACAGCATAAGACACCAAAAAGTAGTTGCAAGTGGTCCCTGATGTCATCAAATATGCAGATGATACTCCTGCTGCCTTTTGTCTTGGGCATACTAGGGATGGGACCCCCACACTGAGCTGCACCCCAGCCTTTTCATTTTAGGAGGTAATGGTCTTGCTAAGTTGCTCAGGCTGGCCTCGACTTAAGGTTCTCCTGCCTCGGCCTCCCACTATTCTCCATCAGCTGGCTTTTGACTTTTTTTTTTTTATTTAAAGAGAAAAAAGGAAAAAAAGCAGTAAAAGGATACAAATAATACAGAATTTCAAGAAAAAAATATACATTAGAAAATCACTAGTTAATAGGTTACATATTGCTTTCTTAGAAACAGTTGTCCAAATTATAAAATTAAAGCATATAAAATGGACATTCATACAGTGAGATTGCAGACAGTTCCGTTCAGTGATCCAACAAAAGCTCAGTAATATGGTTTTCCATCCTACATACTCAAACATACATGCAGTTATATCCCTTAGATCACCTTCCTTTCCTCTCTTTTTTTACAATAACAGTTACACTTTTAGGGTTTTTTTACTCCCACAGTTCTTACTACTTTTTTTTGAAGAGAAACCAAACATGACTAAGCAAAACACAATTGGTTAGAACAGAAGGATGGACATAGTACATGATGCAAAAATAGAATACCAGGTGATCAAAAGTGGTTACCATTGTGCCTCTTGCTATTTTTAAAAAGAGTTGCCTATATCATCAGGTATAATAGAATTGATCAAAACAGTACAGAACAAGACCAATAAAACCTACACTGAAGACCTTACAGGATTTCAAAAGAAGATAATAGTCAAACCATAATGGGCATCATAGTAAATCTTATTGCCTTCAAAGTGGTTGCCTATACCCGGCTTTTGACTTTTGATCTCCTTCTAATGCTTAGCTGAAGCACAAGCCCAGCGAACTCACCAGCTGCAGCCGTGATTGTTCCAGTCCTCTCCAGGCTCCTCTGCTTCTTCCTGGGTGCCTCGTCACTTTTGGTGGCAGAAACCAGGTCGTTTGTTCCGTAGATTTTCCTGGTCTGAGTTTTGCTGACCGCATCCTGATGGTGTCATTTCACCTGTTCCCTTGTCCCTTTGTAATTTCTAGAAATTGGTAGTGAGATCTGGTGGTACAGATTGAATTTCCCCTCCAAATGGGATGTGGGCAATGAGCAGCCGTGGATAATACAATCGCCTTTCATGGGGGCTTGCAGAAGCGGGAATGTCTCCCCCCACTTTCTTAGTTTATTTCACACTGCTGCCAGGATTAAGTTCCCTCCTTTATCCTGAGGTGCTCGTTGTGTGGGAAGGGTGAGGTCGTGCTAACTATTTCCTGTTACTGACTAATGTGCAAACGTGAGGTGGTTTCCCCAAATCCTTCATGAGTACCTAGAGGAGGCCTTTTCTTTTTTAGAGTCATGTGAATGTGCTCTGGGAGTTTCCGTTTGCTTGCAGACCTCGGTGTATATCATTGCCCTGTGCAGGACTGCCTGTGAGCTGTGCTCTGGCCCCTGCTGGTCAGATGGTCCACATTCATCTCTGCCCTGCTAGAGCCACCCGGGTTTCTGGGGAGCCCTGGGAGGGTTCACCCTGCTGGTTCAGTCGTTTCAGTGATCAGAGCCTGGAAATGTGTTTGTTTTGGAAAAATAGCAAATGTTAATGGATTATACCCACGCGACTCCATGCTTGCCATGCAGGGCTTCGGCTGCGTCCTTGGCTTCGTCAATCTTATGGAGGCATCTTTCAAAGATGCCCAAAAATAGATGTCCTCCGGGCCGCCAGTCCGGTGGTTTATTTGATTTTCCCATAACTCTCACATGACAGTCTTGAGATAACAAGCCTAGCACTGTCCCTACAGACTGACAAGAGAAAGAGCTTGGGAATCTGTTCCTGAAGTCTTCAGAGAACCCTGCGTTAACCACTGGGAAGAGTCCGCTGCGTATCTGTGCGTGGCTGTACTTACTCGGTTTTGTTTCATTTTATTTTGAAGTTTAAGACTTTATTTTATAATAATGTAAAAGACGAACAAGGTTCTAAGGCAATTCGGAAAGCAGGATGTACCCTTAACTCCCCCCTCCACCCTTTCCTGCCTCATCCCTAACTGTAACGCTTTCTATTTAGCGTGATAACCATGCACCTTATGTCTCTGCCTTCTTACATGGAGGTGGCTCACTGTACAGAACATCCTAGAGTTCACGTTTTGGTAACAGTACCTTGTGGAATCTGCGTCCTGCAGGGGCGAGGACTTTCCTCCTTCCTTTGACAGTTCTGTGCATGTTTCTCTTACCTGTATGCTGGGTCCTGTTAGTGGCCTCTGGGGCAGTTCCTAGAACATCGTGATTGTCACTCACAGAACTACAGTGCAGGACCACATACCTTTACCTGTAAGATGAGACCAGAGCCTTGCACGTGCTGGGCAAGTGCTGTGCCACCGAGCTGCATCCTTGGTACTTTAAAACTTATTATTTTGAGACAGGGCTGCCTAAGTTTCCTGGGCTTGGACTTGTGATCCTCCTGCCTCATCCTCCCTAGTAGCTGGCAGGCTCCTGTGGCCTCGGGTACCTTGACCAGGGTCTCCTCGGCAGCAGCACAGTGTGATGCCTGCAAACTTGAATTCCAAAGCTGGACTCGAGGGAGCGGAAGGCTTGTCCCAGGGGACAGAGCATGGTCTTACCCTTTACCCTTCTCTCTAGATCCGGGGCCACCATGTGGCCCAGCTGGACCCCCTGGGCATTCTGGATGCAGACCTGGACTCCTTTGTGCCCTCTGACTTGATCACAACCATTGATAAGTTGGGTGAGACCCTTCCCTGTGACCTGGCACTCCAGGGCTGGCCAGCACAGGTGACCCAGTGGCCCAGTGGGATTCCTGGGCCCAGAGGACAGCTTCAGCCCACAGGGACTGGTGGTGCCCCGACCTTTGCCATCTACTTCAGTGTCCCCAAAGATGTCTTTCCATGTCCCCAGGCAGGACACCATGCCCAGCCCGGGTGAGGTTATCTGGGCCCCTGCTTGGTGGCAGGTGGACTGCCCCTCACCTCTGAGTGCCAGCTGAGTGTGAAGGGGGTGGGCGGAGGGGCCCCTTCGTGGTCTAAGGATGCCGTCTGCTGGGGCTTGACCTCCTTTCCTCCCTCCTGGCCACCTGGGACTCCTTCCCCAGCCTTCTACGACCTGCAGGAGGCAGATCTGGACAAGGAGTTCCAGCTGCCCACAACCACCTTCATCGGGGGCTCTGAGAGCTCGCTGTCCCTGCGGGAGATCATCCGGAGGCTGGAGGTGAGCCTGGGCCCTGGGGTGGCAGGCTGTGGGCTCCCTTTCCTGGCCTGGATCCAGGCCCGCTGCCCCTTGTCCTGGCTCCTGTCCCTAGAGTACCTACTGCCAGCACATCGGCTTGGAGTTCATGTTCATCAACGACGTGGAGCAGTGCCAGTGGATCCGGCAGAAGTTCGAGACCCCCGGGGTGATGCAGTTCTCCAGCGAGGAGAAGCGGACCCTGCTGGCCCGGCTGGTGCGCTCCATGAGGTCAGCGCCACTCAGTCCGGGAGAAGCTGGTCGGGGGCATAGCCAGGCAGGTGGATGGGCTGGGACTCTGGGAAATCACAGCAGCAGGGGACACGGCGCCGGGAGAGGGAGCAGCAGGATGCGGTTGTAGGATGCGGTTGTAGGATGCTTGGGTACACAGGGGCTCTGGTGCAGAGAGTGCGGGCGCCCCCTGGCGGTGGTGGTGGTTCTTTCACCCTCAGAGGGCTCTGAAGCTGGTTCTTCCTGTAGCGGGGTGCAGGGGCTTCCTGGGCAGTGAAGTGGGCACTGGCCTTTGCATTCTGTTGGGTGGGGTCTTTGGAGCTTGGTGAGCACCCTCTGCAGAAAGTGGTGGCCAGGAGCAGGGGGATGGTGTTCTGCTGGGAAAGTTGGGTGGGCAGAGGGTGGGCAGAGCTCTCTGTGCTGACCATGGGCTCCATGCAGGGTAAGAGTTGGGTGGTGTCCGGAGTGGGGCCTGAACTCTGTGGGAAGCTCTTCCTCAGTCCTTGGTGTCCAGCTCCTGCTGCTTGAGCCTCCCCCGCCCCCACCCACCCACAGATTTGAAGACTTCCTGGCCCGGAAATGGTCTTCAGAGAAGCGCTTCGGCCTGGAGGGCTGTGAGGTCATGATCCCCGCCCTCAAGACCATCATCGACAAATCCAGCGAGATGGGGATTGAGAACGTGATCCTGGGCATGCCGCACAGGTGGGGCTGCCCCCCAAACCAGAGAAATCAGGGCGGGGTGCTGGTGGAGCCTTGGGGTATAGGCAGTTCCTGGCAGGTCCTCAAGGTTCCCAGGCCTTGCCCGCTCATCTGAGAAACAGCCAGGTGCTTGGCAGTCACGTGAGGCCAGTGACGACTGGATTCTCTGGGCTTCCCTTTCCTCTGGCCAAGTTGCCACTGCCCCCAAAAGGACAGAGTTTCAGAATGGGAAGCATTGTGCTTCTTGGGTTCCCATAATCAGGGAGGCATGGAGAACACTTCCCAGGGAGGTGGGGGCAGAGGCTGGGAAGGCGGCCTCCTTGCACCCCTAGAGCTGAGCTGAGGGCTCTGTGGACCCATGGCATGTTTCCCTGCACCCTGGGGAGGCCTGGAGGCCTGCTCACCAGTCATCCCAGGACAGGAGTCTGGGGACAAGGCTGCAGGACTTGCCTACCCAGGACTGCGTGGCTCTAGGGGTGTCTGGATGCATGGTGTCCGGGGCTTTGTCCTGGCTGGCCTGCCAGGGACAGAGATCTCTCCGTCACGTCACAGACCCTGTGCTCTGAGCAGCTGGGTGTGTCCAGTGTCTGGACAGAGGCCAGCAGAGCCAGCCCAGCAGCCCAAGCACAGGCACATGAAACTGCAGGTCTCAGGCTGGCAGGAGTGGCGGGCACCTGGTGGGCATGGTCAGCCCAATGATCACTAAGGAGGGCTTGGGACTCCCGAGTGGGCATAGGAACCCAGGACAGACGCGCTCTGCCCAGAGGGCTGTGAGGTGTGCACCAGGCTCCAGCAGCACCTCCAGAATAGGGAGAGGCCAGTCCAAAACAGGGCAGCCTATCCTGCAGGGCCAAGGAGCTGTGGATCCCCAGGGATCTCCGTAGGCCCGGGGTTCTGGGGTGCTGGGCTGTGAAAGATGAACTTTAGTTGCCATGTACATCTGTACCAGGCTGGATTCCCGTGCTCAGGGAGGTGTGGAGGATGCCTCCCAGGGAGGTGGGCGGGCCTGGGGAGGTGGTCCCGTTGGTGTCCCTGGAAGGGGTCTGTGGAGGTGAACTAAGCTCTGTGCCTCTGGATCTAGAGTCCCAGAAGGAAATTCAGGCTGGGCTGGAGAACCCCTGTGTTCCAGTGCCCCCCTCAGCTGGCGGGCAGGTTCTCTGGTAGCTCCAGCCTGCTGTGTCCTGAGTGAGGTCAGTGTCCCAGTGGGGGAACAAGGGGGCACCTGCCATGCAGCCAGGCAGCTCCTGACCCTGAGGGCCTCCTGTATCACCAGCATGCGGGTAAAGGAGCTGGCACCCCTCCTCCCCATGCCTGGAGGTCAGGACAGCCTGTGAGGGCCTGGAGCCCCCATCTGTCTCTGATGGTCCAGGTGGGCAGGGAGAGGGGTCGCGTGGCTGCGGTGGTCGTGGCCTCAGTGCTGGTGAGAGCCCAGGCCTGTGGTCCCAGGGGCAGGCTGAACGTGCTGGCCAATGTGATCCGAAAGGACCTGGAGCAAATCTTCTGCCAGTTTGACCCCAAGCTGGAGGCTGCGGATGAGGTGGGTGCCACACCCTGGTCCCAGTGTCCCCAGAGAGCCCAGCGCTTGGGCAGTGGACTCAGGAGCTCCCAGGCTGAGACAGAGCCTACCTCTGTCACTTTGCCCACGGTGCTGGCTTTTCCCTGGAGCGTGTGATCTGCAGCTGCATCTGTGGACGCTGAGCAGCGTGGACACTGCGCTTCTGCCTGGCACGGCCTGGTCCATAGAAGGCCTGGGAGCCACCTTGTGCACTGGGCCCTGGGGTCTTGCTGCCCTATGTGAGGGCACAGGGCATTGCATGGGAGAGTGACCTTGCTTGATGGGTGGCCTGGGGGCTCCCTCATCACAGCCCACCCTCCCTGTCCTGCCTCACCCTCGTCCTTGCCGGTGTGATGGGCGTGTGAATGACCCTGTTTCACCAGGGCTCTGTCACTGGTTCAGCTGAGTATCAAGCTTCTCCCGTGTTCCTCACATGCCATTTGTATTCTTGCTCTGCAAATTCCCCTTTATGGATTTTGCTCATTTTCCTAGGGGTTTGGGGGCTTTAACTGTACTGATTTGCAAAAGCATTTTGCATACAGACGTCATTAACCCTTTGCTGCATCTGCCTTATTAATGATTTCCTGTTCGGTTCTCATCCTGCAATGCTGGGTCTGGATTTTCCCCTCCACTCATGATGAATTTATTCCACTTCAGCTTGCTCGGCTCTTATAGTTGTGGGGCTTTTGAGTGCTGCTCAGGAAGGAAGCCTCTCCCCTGCTCCCAGACGTAGAATATGTCTTGTTTTATTCCTATGCTACTATGGCTTTGGATGTTTTGGTGTGAGGCGTGAGGTAGGGATTCAGTTCTGGTCTTTCCTTTGCAGGATGGGAATTGAAGCCAGGATTTTTGTACTGAGCTGTATCATCAGCACCTTTTAAAATTTTTGAATTTTGAGATAGTCTCACTAAGTTTCCCTCATCTGGCCAGCTGGAGGGATAGTGCTCTGCATGGGGCAGTGTGACCAGGGGAGATGGGGCAGGGACAACATAGCTTTCAGCAGGGTCAGGAGCAAGGGAACCCAGCCCGCCGTGGGCCCGCGTGTCTGTGGTCGTTTCCTGTCTGGTTCAGGAGCGGAGGGGCTCACCCCACCCCACCTCCATCCTCAGGGCTCTGGGGATGTCAAGTACCACCTGGGCATGTACCACGAGAGGATCAACCGAGTCACCAACAGGAACATCACCCTGTCGCTGGTGGCCAACCCCTCCCACCTGGAAGCTGTGGACCCCGTGGTCCAGGGGAAGACAAAGGCGGAGCAGTTCTACCGTGGGGATGCCCAGGGCAAGAAGGTGCACGCCTGTGCCTGAGAGGGTGCTGAGCCCTGGGGAGCCGGGTGCTGGGGCGCCGGGTACTGTGGGGCTGTGCCCCTGCAGAGCTGGCCTGTGGGGGGGCTGGACCTGGGTCCTGGGACAGAAGCAGCAGGCTGGCAGCACCAGACCCTGCTGGCTCACTCTGTGCCCTGCAGGTCATGTCCATCCTGGTGCATGGGGATGCAGCCTTCGCTGGCCAGGGTGTGGTCTACGAGACCTTCCACCTGAGTGACCTGCCCTCCTACACCACCAACGGCACCGTGCATGTCGTTGTCAACAACCAGGCGAGTGCCAGGCTCTGCATCCCTCCTGATGGCCTGCAGCAGGTGGCGGAGAGGGTAGCAGCTCAGTAACCTCCCTCTCCCTGCTCTGCCAATCAGTGACCGCAGGTAGGGCAGCTGGCCCCAGCCGCAGATCCTGGTCTGTGAAATTGGCAGGTGCTTTCCATGTATACGTATGGATCTGAGCACATGTGTCCCTATATGTACAGATATGTGTATACAAGACATGAGAGACTTAGGTGGCCCTGGTTCCTGCACCTGACAGGGTCCTGGGCTCCATCCCGCAGGTGCCTGGGGCAGGTGTGCGCATGGAGAAGGTGTGGGGTGAGGTGAGCAGGCGTGGGCCTGGCCGGGCCCTGGTGAACCTGGGCCAGCAGTGCCATGTGTGCCCCAGCGCAGAGGCCACTGCAGTTGGGACCAGCTCGGGCAAGAGCCGGAAGCCCAGCACTGCTCTTGAATAACCTCTGAAGCAGGGCTTTCATGAACCTCGTCCTCAATGAGAACACTGAGGCTCAAAGCCACTCCTGTCCTGGCTGACCTGGGGGGCCCTGCGCTCCCTCATCATCCGGGGGAGCCTGAGGCTCCTTGAGCCGTCCAGTCTCTGAGGTCAGCACCATCTGGTGGGCAGCCCACAGGAAGGGCAGGTGCTCCTGGTGCTCAGGAGGCTGAGGCAGAAGGATTGCTCACACCTGGGCGCTCAGAACCAGGCTGTCTCAAAAGCAAAGTAGACAGAGGCTGCTGGTTCTGCTCGCACAGATCGGCTTCACCACGGACCCGCGGATGGCCCGCTCCTCGCCCTACCCCACTGACGTGGCCCGCGTGGTCAATGCACCCATCTTCCACGTGAACGCCGATGACCCCGAGGCCGTGATCTACGTCTGCAGCGTGGCGGCCGAGTGGAGGAACACGTTCAACAAGGACGTGGTCGTGGACCTGGTGCGTTGGGGCTGAGGCTGGGCGGGGATGCGTCACTGCCCCTGCTGTGCCGAGCCTTGTAGGTGGGCAGCTCAGTGCCACCAAGAGGCATTGGTGACTTGGGTCTGAGCCCCTGCTACCCGCAGGTCTGTTACCGCCGGCGTGGCCACAACGAGATGGACGAGCCCATGTTCACGCAGCCGCTGATGTACAAGCAGATCCACCAGCAGGTGCCCGTGCTGAAAAAGTACGCCGACAAGCTCATCACCGAGGGCACCGTCACCCTGCAGGAGTTCGAGGTGGGTGCCGTGGGACCACGGGCTGCTGGCAGGTCTGGAGAAGTAGCGGACGTGGTCCTTGTTCCCGAGCATCCCCAGGTATCAGAGGGGCAGAGGTGTGATTGCAGCGGGGAGGGACCCAGCAGGTCACCAGCCCTCGGGTACCTGCCAGGGGCATGGGAGCTCTGCAGACACAAGGTCACTACAAGCAGGGACAGAGGCAGCTCTAGCCCATGGGTCCAAGCCATGGTCTGCACCTGCGTCCCCATTACAGGAAGAAATCGCCAAATATGACCGGATCTGCGAGGAGGCTTACGGCAGGTCCAAGGACAAGAAGATCCTTCACATAAAGCACTGGCTGGACTCCCCCTGGCCTGGTGAGCAGGGGGTGCAGAGGAGCAGTCGCTGCCCAGTAAGGGGCCCCACCTGCAGGTCGGGCAGGCGGGTGGAGGGGCGATGGCCTGGGGGTATCACAGTTAGCTCAGACCTCTGGTTGGGGAGCAGTGATGGGGCTGGGCTGCCAGCCTGGTGTAGACCCAAGAGCCAGGGCATGGAAGCTGCAGCCCTCAGTGCTGTCCAGGGCATCGAGCCCCCTGCCACCCAACAAGGACAGTCTCTGCGTCCCCTCCAGGCTTCTTCAATGTAGACGGGGAGCCCAAGAGCATGACCTGCCCCCCCACCGGCATCCCTGAGGACGTGCTGACCCATATCGGCACCGTGGCCAGCTCTGTGCCCCTGGAGGATTTTAAGATCCACACAGGTGTGGTTGCATTGCAGTGTCAGTGTAGCCGTGGTCACAGACCTGACCCTGCAGGGAGATGGGTTGGAGAGAGGCAGTGTGGCATGTCCCTGTTTGGCCCCTCGATGCTGGGCTCAGATCTCAAAGTCTTGTGTGCCCTGGGTGCCTGTGATCATGGCTCCCCTCAGTGCCATGAGGCATATCCCACCTGGGCATCAGGGACACAGTTTCCAGGGCCTCCCCAGCTGGGCGGAGAGCAGGACCAAGGGTGGCTCTGTCCCTCCACTGGGTCTGCCACACCCAGCGCTGTGTGGTTGCCGGCTGTATTGTGCCACCTGGTTCTGCCTGGGAAGTTCAGGGGTTCTGTGTCTGGAGTAGCTCCAGGGGAACCCCCACAAAATGCACATGGAGGCTGGGCACCTGCTTGCAGTGTCCGTGTGAGCGCCAATCTCTGTGGATCAGGGGATCAGGGGCCCGCTCGCCTGTGAGGCCGGGTGCGTGGCTTCCCCTCTCTGAGTCTCGGTCTCCTCTCCTGGAAATCAGGGACGTGTGGTGTTTAGAGGGTGTGTGATACCCCAGCCTGGGCATGATGCCCAGCTGAAGCAGCTGCTGTGTTTTTGGGGGCTGGGGTCAGGTCCCCACAGCAGCCCCACTCCTGCAGCCTGCCCATGCCTGTCTGAGCTGTCCCAGCCAGGTCTCCAGCCCCTCAGGGCCTCCTCCCTCCCCGCTCCCTCCCTGCAGGCCTGTCCCGCATCCTGCGTGCCCGAGCAGACATGACCCGGAAGCGGACAGTGGACTGGGCACTGGCTGAGTACATGGCCTTCGGCTCCCTGCTGAAGGAGGGCATCCACGTGCGGCTCAGTGGGCAGGACGTGGAGCGGGGCACATTCAGGTGAGGTGGACTCCAGGCCTTGTCTCCTGACCGGGCACCGCTGTTCCCAGGTCTTGCTAAGGACTTTGCATCCCATCCCACCATCGTCCCAGCCCCACCCCAGATGGGTGGTCGGAGCTGGGGACCAGCACGGGCTTGTGGCCATCTCTGGTCCTCAGGATCCTTTATTTCCATTGCTGTCAGGCACCTCTGTCTCACCTGTTGGGTGTTGGGATCCAGATGGGGACCACAGGAGCCTCCACACCATGGTACCCGGTTGTGGTGGTGTGGCTTCTGGGCAAGGCTGTGTTTTCCCATCGACCAGGGCCCTGGGCAGCCACTCTGCTCTCTGGGATTCACTGAAGTCCCTGGCTGGCCTTTGGGTTTGCTGGGCAGTGCCCCCTATGCCAGGCCGGGGACTGCTCTGTGGTAATCGCCTGTCAGGAAGGAAACAGGCCAGCCAGATGGGCAGGGAGGTGCCCAGCTCTGCTGTGCTCCTGGGAAGTCCTCAGGGTGGGAAGCTGAGGCCCAGAGGTGCTGGGACCTTTGAATTTTGCTCCATCACCCTCAGTGTGCCATGTGGGCAGTGCTGTGGAGACCAGGAGGGGAGGTGCAGAGGGCCAGGCTGCCATACCATGCTGCCCTGCAGGTTTCTGGATGCAGTGATGACACCTGCCTGGCCCCTGCCCCCTGCTCTCCTGCTCTGGGATGACAGATGCCAGCCCATTGCTCCCCACCTAACCCTTGGCCCCTCTCTCCCCAGCCACCGGCACCATGTTCTCCACGACCAAGAAGTGGACCGGAGGACGTGCGTCCCGATGAACCACCTCTGGCCTGGCCAGGCCCCCTACACCGTGTGCAACAGCTCCTTGTCAGAGTACGGAGTCCTGGGTGGGTCCAGCAGGCCCAGCCCTAGGGGGGACCCCAGGGGACCCCACCTGGGGATAGGAGGGACAGGAGATCCTCAGGGGTCCCAGTTGGACACCCAAGCCCTGTCCCTAAGCACTAGCACGGGGCCCAGGCAGAGCATGCAGCAGAACCTCAGGGCCACAGTCTCCCCTGGCTCTGAGCCTGGCCAGCCTCTACCCGGCTCCAGCCATCTTGCCTCCTGGGCCTGGCACCCCGGAAGCCCCGTACCAGGGTTCCTCTCACTGTGCCTGTCCTGCTGGCTGACCTCTGCTCAGTCCTCAGCAGAGCTCCCTCCCCCTTTCCCTCTGCCCCTTGCCGGGTCCCCTGTCCTGTCCCCGGGGGCCTCTTCCCCTCTCTTGGCAGCTCTGCACGTGGTTTTGGGGGCTCCTCCTGGCACGTGGTCCCTGCTTCTCCAATGAGTGTCTTTAGGGTTGGCTCTGGGCTGGGCAGGGTGGAACCTGGCCACATCCGATGAGGGCTGAGGGTGGCCTCTCAGGAGGAAGCAGCTCCTGGATGCGCCCTGGCCCGCTGGGAGGGGACCACCATGGTGAAGACGGGCCGGCGGGGTTGGAACCTCCTCCTTGGTGTCCCCTGTCCAGGCTTTGAGCTGGGCTACGCCATGGCCAGCCCCAACGCCCTGGTCCTCTGGGAGGCCCAGTTTGGCGACTTTCACAACACGGCCCAGTGCATCATCGACCAGTTCATCAGCACGGGCCAGGCCAAGTGGGTGCGGCACAATGGCATCGTGCTGCTGCTGCCGCATGGCATGGAAGGCATGGTGAGCTCCGCCCCAGGCATGCCCAGCGGGCACAGGCAGGCTGGGGGCTGGGCAGGCTCTGCATTCTGTGCTATCCCCTCACCTCGTCTGAGCGTGGCGGGGGGCAGAGCCTCCCCACTGGGGCCACACTTGGGATGAGTGAGCAGCACCTCCAGGTCCCTGCGCGGTGCTTGGTTAGGGTGGCACCGCTGTCCCTGGCCGTTCTGGACAACAAGTAGCCTGTGCAGCCCTCAAACCTCTTCCTGTGGGCTCCTGCCCCATAGCTTGGGCTCCAAGCGAGGGCTCTGTCCCCAGGAAGCCGGCCAGAGCCCCCCGGCCTGGGCTCCCTGATGTCCTGGTGCCCTGGGTCACCTTGCATTTGCTTGCAGGGCCCAGAGCACTCATCAGCACGGCCGGAGAGGTTCCTGCAGATGAGCAATGATGACTCGGATGCCTACCCCGTGAGTGTGGCTGGCCAGGACCCCAGACAGGGGACCCCCCCACCCCCCGGCTGCAGGGCAGCCCACTCGTGAGTGGTGGTGGCCACTCCAACCGCCCTGCCTGGCAGGTCTTCACCGAGGACTTCGAGGTGAGCCAGCTCTACGACTGCAACTGGATTGTGGTGAACTGCTCCACGCCGGCCAGCTACTTCCACGTGCTGCGCCGGCAGATCCTGCTGCCCTTCCGCAAGCCCGTGAGTGCCGCCCGCCCGCCTGTCCACCCACAGTGCACTGCGGTGCAGCGGGAGGCTGGGGCTGTGCGGGCAGGGGCCGCTGGCAGCCGGGTGTGTGTTTCCCTTCCAGCTGATCATCTTCACACCGAAGTCCCTGCTGAGGCACCCGGAGGCCAAGTCCAGCTTTGACCAGATGGTGTCAGGTGCGTGCCTGCCTGCCAGGCGCCTTGGACACCCACACTGGGGACGCGGCCCTTTGGGACCCCAGGGCCTGTGGTGCAGCTTCTGTGCCTCTCCATCTCCTCCTGTCTGACGCTTTGTAAACCCCAGGACAGTGGGGCTGTGGGGAGGTTGGCACAACAGCCACCCCGGGTCACTTGGAAAGAGGAGACAGCCGACCTGCAGCTGCACTAGGGCTGCCCAGCTCTGCCAAGGGTTCCCAGGGGCAGGAGTCCGGCAGTGCTGCAGTCTCTGGGCCTGAGTGTCCTCTGTCCACTCACCGGTCAGTCAGCCATTCACCTATTTCCATTGCTCGTGAGCCACGCAAACCCCACTGGCCCTGTTGTCCTCTAGGGGAGCTCTCGACCTTCTTGACCTGGGGTAGGGGGTTCATATGATGCCCTGGAGGACCAGATGCACTGGAGCTGTGGCTGGGGAGTCTGAGAGGAAGTCATGGGGTCCCTGGGGTAACAGGAAGCTGGAGCAGGTCGTTTGGAGAGGGCAGGGCAGGGCCAGGCAGGAAGGACCTTGGCAGTGTGTGGACAGGCATTTGCTTGTGTGTGTGTGTGTGTGTGTGTGTGTGTGTGTGTCTGTCTGTCTTTCTTTCTGTCTGCTCTTATGGGGGAAGGTGGCTGAATCAGGCAGTTAGGCAGTTCAGAGTACTGAGCTTGGACCGAGCACCTGGCCCTGGCTCCCCTCCAGGTGCCCTGTGCTGTAGGGTCCTCATGGGGTGCAGCAGTGCGGGGACCCTGGAGCGTTGCACCCTCAGGAAGGGAAAGGCTGTGGCTGTGGTGAGGGGAGAGCTCAGTGTCCACCCGGACAGCTGCTTGGCTTCCCACCTGCTGCACAGGGGCTGGGAGGTCCTGTGGCAGATGGCACCATAATGGTGCATTGTGTCACCATGCTGCCATTCAGGGGTCCTCCCCAGTATACCCCCAAAACCCAGCACCGAAACGGCACTGCCAGGGCTCTGTCCTGGGTCCCTTTCTCCACCCATTCCTGTGACATCTCAGGGCGCCATCCATCTCTTGCTCAATCTTTTGGGATGCAAACCTGGCCAGTTCCCACAGCTAGCGAGAGCCGGGGCTTCTGCACCGCTGTCCCCACCCACGGTGCCCCCTGGTCTCCCAGGGACCAGCTTCCAGCGGGTGATCCCGGAAGATGGGGTGGCAGCGCGGACTCCCGGCCAGGTGCGGCGGCTCATCTTCTGCACGGGGAAAGTGTACTATGACCTGGTGAAGGAGCGAAGCAGCCAGGGCCTGGACGGGCAGGTGGCCCTCACACGTCTGGAGCAGGTGTGCCAGGCCCTCCTGGGGTTGGAGCCATGGGCGGGGTTGGGGACGTGAGCAGTGTGCTGGCCAGGCCAAGCGAGGCTGTCAGAACCAGGATGCACCACCCCTCCATTGTGCCCCTCTTCCACCCCCAGATCTCCCCATTCCCCTTCGACCTGATCGAGCAGGAGGCCGCGCGGTTCCCAGGAGCTGAGCTGGTGTGGTGTCAGGAAGAACACAAGAACATGGGCTACTATGACTACATCAGCCCGCGTTTCATGACCATCCTTGGCCGAACCCGGCCCATATGGTACAGACGTGGGCCAATCTGCCCTCCCACAGAGGGAAGGGGCCAGCGGGCAGGAGGACAGCCGGCCCGTAGTGTGCACCTTGGCCAGAGCTGAGCTGCAGAGCCCGCTGCCCGTCTCCAGCTTCCTCCCTGGGTCTGAGCCCCATGCCTGGCCCCTCAGAGCCCTGGGGTCCCTCCCCTCGCCATGAGGCCAGGATTAGGCTGGAGGGGACCAGTCTGCTCCGGGGTGGGGGGCATGGTGATCACTTAGCGCCCCTTTCTTCCATTTGTCTTTGGGAAGATGGTAGGGGCTTGCAGCCTCCTCTGCTGTCCTCATGGCTGAGTCCGGTGACCCCGTGGGGTCAGTTTCTCCTCTGTGTCCCATGGTTAGTATCTGGCAGAGAGGCAGGATCGTGCTGAGCGCCCCCCAGTGCTGCCCTCACCCTCCTGTCCCCCTCAGGTATGTTGGCCGAGAGCCTGCCGCTGCGCCTGCCACGGGCAACAGGAACACTCACCTGGTGTCCCTGCGGAAGTTTCTGGACACTGCCTTTGATCTCCGGGCCTTCGAGGGAAAGACCTTTTAGAGGGGAAAGAGCGGCCTGGGTCTGGAGCTGGGGGCTCAGGAGGCCAGGAGAGACGGCTGCTGGGCCCCTGGATGTGCGACACCACTGGCTGCCAGCCCAGGCCAGCTTTGGCCTGTGCTGTGTCACTGTCAGGACTGAGACGTCGTGGGGTTCGATGGAGGGGTGCAACTCCTGGGGACCCCAGCGCCTGGCGCCTTCCAGACATGACGCATGGTTTCTGCGTCTGGGATGTTGGTGGCCACCCGGAACCCTGTGCCATCAGCCGCCCTGTCCTGTCCAGCTGTCTGCTGCTCACCCTGTGTGCGGCCCTCTGTAGGTTGAGGGGGAAGCTGTGCCGTGAGCTCTCAGAGGTCGGGCAGCCTCCCACAGCACAGCCCCTGTGCCATTCACGGGTGTGTCCACAGGACACAGCTCTCGGGCGCTGAGGTAGAAACCAAATGCAGAGAAATAAAAGACGTGCAAAGAGAGACTTGCTGTCCTCAAGTCACGCCGTGGAGTTGGGGGACAGCTGTGTGGGCAGCGGGCTGGGGACAGGCGGGTCAGGCAGAAATAGAGCTCAGACTCTGCTCCAGGGAGGCTGCACCACAGGACAGACGTGGTCTGTCTGTCTGTCTGTTCCCATCCTGGAGCACTTCCTCCGTGCTGTGTGCTGGGGAGGGAGGGCTCCTCTAACTCAAAGTCCTGCTGGGCTGTGGCAGTCAGGGACGGCTCCCTGGAGGCGGAGGCAGCCCAGATGGTCCACACAGGGATGGCCTGGGAGCAGCATGTGCACCTCAGCCTCAGCAGAGCTCTTTGGGTACACCATGACTCTGACCTCAGGAGTGCTCTAACTGAAAAGGAAGCCAAAGAATAGTGGCCCAGGGGGCCGCACGCCCACCGAGCCCCAGACCTTCTATGGGGTAACTGGTTTGCGTGACCTGAGGCTCTTTAGCCTCCATCGGGGTTTTGAGTGAGGAAACCAAGGGTCAAACAAGGTCATCTGTCCAAGGTCACATGCCAGTCCAGCAGTAGGGCTGGACATGGCTTCTGCTGGCAGAAGTGAACCCTTCCAGGGCTGCATGGTGAGCACCGCCTGCAGCTGTGAGGGCAGAGCCTGGCACGGTGCAGCCATGCGGCATCGGGACTGGACAGGGAGCCTGTGACTCCATGGTGGACAGGCAGCCCCACAGCCACACACACAGATGCCTCTAGCCAGGCTATGGGGGCTCTGTAGAGAGAGGGGTAACGCCATCCGATTGCCCAGTGGGTGAAAACCGAGTGCATGGGAAAGGGCTCCAAACTGCAAGCCGGGAGCTCCCTGGGAAATACAGTGAGCTCACAGGGCAAGCAAGGAAGGCGTCACTGCTACGGGATGGTAACAGACTGCTTTACAGTTTGTTTCAGATGTAGCAGACACGAAACACTGCCAAAATACCAACCTGAGTAGCTGCCATGAAAAAGGGGTTTAGTGTTAAGAACAAGGAATTCTCCCACAAAAGTAGAACAGAGAGCAGATTCATTATGAGTGGCTTTTGAAAGACACGTGTGAAAGAGACAGAGATGGCTCAGTTCAGTCGCATGCACAGCAGGAGTCCCAGGACCACGAGTGGAGCCGCTGGGGACAGGTGTTCTGCCCGTGAGCACTGCCAGTGTCTTGGCTGTGGCTTTGTGATGTGGGGAAACTGGAACCTGACCGCCTGGGATACGTTTCTTAAACTTTAAGATAGCCCTGCATGGTGGGGCATGTCTCTTACCCCAGCAGTTAGGAGGCTGAGGCAGGAGGATCGCTGGAGTTCAAGGCCAGCCTGTACCACATAGCAAGAACTTGTTTCAAAACACCAAAAGAATAAAAAAAAAAAAGGGGGGAAGAAAGAAAACAAAGATGCATCCACAACAGTATCGAATAAAAAAATTTCCTTACCAATGAGTTGTTTGTTTCTTGTTACTTGCTAAATTATAAGATTTTCTCCTATAATTTGATACAAGCCTTATCAGATATTGTATACATTTTGCAAAGATTTTTAAGCCTGGCTTGCTTTTAATTTCTCTAAAAATGAAAGTTTTTTTCACAAAGTCTTGATTTATCATTTTGTATTTTTTGTGTCTGGCACTCCCACGCTGTTGAAAGGAAACATTGTAGATGGCTCATATGTAACAGTTATGCACCCTAAGGTTGTGCAGACCAGGGGGCCCTAGCCCCGGGGCTGGCAGATGTGGTATCTGGTGCAGCCGCTGTCCCCATGAGGTGGACACTGCACACAAACCTCTCAGACCTCTTTGTAGAGCACTGATTGGCCAGGAATGGTTGTGCACACCTGTAATCTAGCACCTAGGAGGCTGAGGCAGGAGGATTGCCATGAGTTTGAGGCCAGCCTGGACTACACAGTGAGACCCTGTCTCAAAAAACCAAAAGAGTAAGAGCTTTGGTCCTACTCATGAGGGTCCCACTGCCATGCCTAATCACCTCCCACATGTCTCCGTAACCTTCGTATACCGCATCTTGGGGGTGAGCATTTCTATGTGTTAACATGGGGGAACCCAAACATTCAGACCATAGCAATGTGCTAACTAAAAATCTCTAAAACCAATGTCATGCTGAGTGATGGCACAGCCTGCAATCCTAGCTACTTGGGAGGCTGAAGCAGGAGGATTGTAAGTTCAAGGCCAAGGCAACTTAGCAAGACACCTTATTTCAAATTAAAATACTAATAGTAGTAGTGATTAGCAATGTTGGTTAGCAGTGGAGCACTTGTGCAGCGTGTGCAAGACTCTGGGTTCAATCCCCAATAGCACAGAATAAGTAAATAATAAAACCCAAGCCACAGAATTTTCTCCTGTTCTCTCTTCTAGTTGGATTGTAATTTTAAGTCTTGGTTTTAGGTCTTTATACACACACTCTGTGTAATTTTGGCATGAGGGGAGGGTCAAGATGTATTGTTTCCTAATTGATACTTGATTGATCCTAACCAATTGTTTGAAGACTTTTGTTTAATGAGTTAACTTGATACTTTGTATATACAGTCAGTTGCATAGCATCACAAGTAAGAAAAGAGATGCAAGAAAATATAGAATATCCTGAGGTGACAGATGGAAATCTAAACATATGCTAACAAAGAAGAGAAAAAAGAAAATCCAACAGGAATCATAGATTAGAAGGCTTGATGCTGTTGACAATTAAATTCGCCACCTACTGATCTGCAGATTCTACAGAATCCCCTTATGAATGACTTCAAGTGGATTTATAGAAATTGACAAGTTAACTCTGACTGTACTGAGGCAGCTAAAGCATCTTAAAAAAGTACAGAAGATGGACACTCTTGTTTTCAAGATTTATTATAAAACTGCAACAAAAGCCTGCTGAGATTTTGATTAGCACTACTGTGGATATGGATCCAGATCCTTCCTGAGCGATCCAACCTTTCAGTTTACTAATGTGTTCTCTCTCTCCCTTGATTTTAATTAAATCTGCCTGTAAATATTTTAATTTTTTAGCCACTATAGATGGTATCTTTAAATTTTTCATTTCTTATTTTTAGGGTGTGGAAATCCAACTAGGCTTAATAGTTTTAATTTCTCCAAGAAAGTAGATTTTGGATTAGCTCCAAAGACCGTCTTAACATTCATAAATGAAGTCTTTGTGTTCCTTTTCAATCTCTGCCTTTTATTTATTTTTCTTGCCTTATAGCTCTGGCTAGGGTTGCTAAAATATGTTGCGAAGTTGTAAATTGCCTGTTCTTAGGGTTAAAGCATCAGCATTTCATCATGTATGATGTTACTTTGTGTGTGTGTGCGTGTGTGCTCTTTATCAGGTTGAGGCAAATTCTCAGTTTCTAAGTATTGCTTTTTAAAAGATAAGATATGTATATGGTTTGTCCCATCCACTGAAATGATGATATCTTTTTTTATTTTGCTTATTAGTGTGGTTTGTTGCATTGATTGACCTTTTTATTAGTATGTGTTTGCAGTGCAAGGTGATTGTGCTTGGCCAGGGGTTTAGATCGGTGGTGTAAGAGCCTGCTTGGCAAACGCGAGGTCCTGAGTTTGACCCCTGGCACCAAAAAAAAAAGATGATTGCGCTTATTGTGGGGAGCTGGAACGTGTGCCTGACGCATCTTAATTCATTTTTCTGTCCCTTACCCCTTATCCCTCCCGGCCCCTTCCATCTCTCAGTCCCGTCCCACCTGGAAAAGCCTATGTCCATTTGTCCCCTTCACACTGTTTTCTCTGTATCTCTTTCCTTACCCTCCCTCCATCTCTTGTTCCCCTCCTCATTTGAGAAAAGCATCTCACTACTTCCTGTGATCTATCTTTTATTTTGCTCTTTATTTATCCTTTGGGTTCCTCATATAAAAGAAATCATGTGATATCCAAGCTTGTGTGCCTGACTTATTTGCTGATCATGAAGGTACAGATTAAGTAAACTTTGCACTCCTGGGATAAGCCTATGTGGTTTTCCATTTTACATATTGATGGAATTCATTCATTAAGGTTTCCTTAATAGTATTAATATTAGTATTAGCATCAGCACTGGGGATTGACATTGACCTCCTGAGTGTATGAATAAACATGCTGCGCTGGTTGAGCAGTTCCCTTCTCCCCCATTAGGAGAGAGGGCTCCACGTGACCCCAGCTTTCTCTCTTTATTTTCCCATTCTCGCCATCCTTCCCCCAAGAACATCCAGAGCTGTGCTGGTATGCTGCAATTTATTTATTTTATCCCCACTCCCCTGCCTGATTAACGTGATCCCTCCAGCTTGAACCACTGTGGAGCATGCATGACTGTCTGGCTGATGGGTTTAGAGCTGCCGGGCAGCAGAACACGAGGATCACAGCTTCCCACCACGAGTGTGTTGTCAGGTTTTTTGCCTGTTCAGATTTCTGAATTTTTAGTATCATTTGAGTGAATATTTTACCTTTGGAAATATTCTATAGCATATAAAAAAGCAAGCTGGATGTGGTGGTGCACGCCTATAATTCTAGCACTCAGGAGGCTGAGGCAGGAGGTCTACCTTGAGTTTGAGGCCATTGAAGGCCACACAATGAGTTCAAGGCCAGCCTGAACTACATACCCAGATCTTGCCTCAAAGAAACAAAACTAAATATTTTAAATTTAAAAAAGGAACAAGCCATCCAATATATAAAACCCCTTGCATGCCGATTTATGAACATGCTTTTTGGATTTAAAATGGGATTCCCAAGTCACTTTTCCCCCTAGTCTTTCTTAAAGAGTAATTTCCATAAGTTTTGTGCCTCTGATATTTAAACTCTATGAAAAAACCCTGCTCTGTAGAGTCTGGAACACTCAGGGCTTGGATGCTACTGCAGGCTCTCTGTTTCCCCCCAGTATGGGCTGGACTGGGTCTCCTCATGTTGACATCTTTAGTCAGACGATAAGAGTGAGAAGCAAGCCCCAAGAATCAGTGAAAATTCCATTGCAGAAATGAAACAGTCTTTCTTCCACCCCCTGTGAGCCCAGGCGGCTGCCTGT